GATTAGATGTTCAGTTCCTTTTTTTTTTTAGAAAAAAGAGGGATCAATTATTTTGTTAGAAAGAGATAAACTAGTTATGAAGAACCTTTGGCAATAGATAACGAAAAAATCAGCAACTATTCTTGCCAGATGTTGTTCTCAAGAGCCTTTTGTTGTCACGGTTTTGGACTCTACCTTTTCTGTTCTGTTTTAGAGACTGACTTCTATTTGTCCTTAAAACGGGGCACATTTACCTTGGACTGCCAGAGATGGGCGTAATCAGAAATAGTGCTTGTTCTCCTTCTTGAAGATAGAGCCTCCATTGTCCATCAAAGCAGGGAAATCCTTCTGTTGTGGGTTTTATTGTTGTACCACTCAGGTGCCCCTTTACCTTGAAGGATGTTACCCTGGTCGCATGCCTGTACTCGGGAGGCAGCGCTGTGTATTGTAGGAACGTGGCACACAGGACGCTGTGTTAGGTCAGGGAGGTAACTGCAGCTCCTGGTTCCAGAATCCTGTGTGTCATACGCACCAGTTGGTTGAAGTCTATGGATGTAACAATTTGCATCTGCAGTACTACAACTTCCCTTTTAAAGAGCGACAAGTCATTTGGGCTACTGCTTACTTAGTTAGCAACGCTTAAACAAAGGGAGCAAGTGTTTCTCTTGAACTTCCAGCAGTTTAAACTAAAGGATACCTGTCTCTCCCTTCATATAGTTCCTGTTCAGATAAAATCTCGTTCTGATTTCTTCCAAATGCTGCTACAAGCATGAGACTTTACCCTCTCATCTGATGTATTTCTGGAGTCCCTTTTAAATATAGGGAGTCTGGAAAATTACCTACCTATACCTACAGTATGAACAGCACTAAAAAGTCACGAGTCAGCCGGGGAAATACTCTTGTTCTGTCCCCCTGCAGAGCAACTTGGAAGTGCTGATGAGATAAGGGCTGTGAGCAGAGGCTGGGCTTTTGCTTGCTGGCACAGACTTTGTGGGCACAGCTACCTGCGTGTCACAGCAATTTAAGATTTGGCTGTTGAGATCAAATTCGGCTGGGCTTTCTGTGTTATGCTAGGTCATGAAGAAAGCCTGGACATTCCCTCGGAGGGGCCCGCATTGCTATTTTAAACGGTAGAAATATGTTTGCTGTATACAAGTTTCCGTGCAACCCATTTTCCGTACTCAGGTGTAGGGATCTTGAACGACTTCTTACTGGAATAACTCCCTGTGGGCGTCAGGAGCAAGAAACTCATTTCCCTCCGTATTCACAACTTGCAGGTCAGTGAAGGAGACCCTGGAATCCAGCCTGTTTGAGGCTCAGCAGCACTTATCGCAGCTGGAGATCGCCAGGAGTCAGCTTGAGATCCAACTTCACACAGTCACGCAGGCCAAGGAGGTGATACAAGGTGAGAGCCTCCTGTGCTTTGTTTCTGGTGATCCCCCTACCTAGGGAAGGTGGTATAAAAAATAGCTCTCTGTCCGCAGTGCTTCTGAGGAGTGAAGGAGATGGAGGCAGATCCCTCCTGCACTGAAATTCAAACGGCTTAAGGTCAGTAAAGTCAGAACCATTGTTTGTGTAGACTCTGAATCTTGCCATTTGTCGTGTTTGCAGGGGAAGTGAAGTGCCTTCAATGTGAGCTGGAAGCAGAGAGATCTCTCGTGAAGCAGGAACGGGAAAACATGGCGCAACAGCTCTTGCGGACAGAACAGCAGTATAACAGTACCCTCAAACTTTGCGAAACTGATCATGAAGTGGAAATAAACAAGCTCCTGCAAGACCTGGTAGGAAACAATATGCTTCTGAATTCTTCAAGCAAGCTTTGTGGGCTGACTTTAGAAGACGACTAGCCCGAGCGTGTGAAATGGCAGCAATCCTCTGTCATAGGCCACACGTTGGTAGGCCAGGCAGCAGAGCCAATGGCTCGTAC